AAGTGATAGAACAATATTCTCTTGTTATTTTTTTCACTGCTATTGGTACTATCATACTGGTAACTGTTCGTAATAGAAGAAGAAGAAGAAGCAGCAAAAAAAAAGAATCAGAGAATCGTGTGCGTGCTTTGTATATATATTATTTGACAGATATGTTGAGCAAGAACAGAGACATTTTCATCCGTTCTTTCTTTCTATACTCACCATATATCCAGTTATTTAATATTCTTTTTCTGTTGATAGTATAATTTTGAATACGAGCAAGAAAACTCATACGGTGTGAGAACGCTCTCGCATAGTTAACTCATGTTCTTGAAATGCTTCTGTTGTGTGTTAACCGAACGGAACATTCCCGTTTTTCTCCCCTCAGACAAACGCGCATTCAGTTTTTCTTCTCTTCTCTTCATTTCGGCTGCTTGAGTTCTTCGCTTTTTTCCTCCTCTTATTCTCCTTTATTATTTACTGTCGGACGGATTCTATACTCAGTTTTTTTCCTCTAGAACTATCGTTGTTAAAAAAAAAAAACAAGACTAGTACCACCATGGAAACTACAAATATCTATATAGTCATTATTATACTAGACAAAAAAAAAGAGGATAAAGCTATTCAATACTCGTCAAATCAACAGAGTATGACCAATACTAAACATGAAATATACTAGATAAATATAAATACAATAGGTTAACTGGTGGAAAATTAAATATTTATCATACAAGAAAAAAAAAGAAAAATCATTGGCAAATATTCTTTTTAAAAATATATAAACTATCATCAATGCTCGAAATCTTTTCTTCAAAATTATTAATATTAAATGAGAAGAATAAATATTGGAGAAAAAAATTTCTTCAAAATTAATGTATATGTTTTAGTAATAATAATTACCTGATATAATTATTGTTGTAGATAGAGTTGATGAATAGATATATGTATGTATGTATAGATAGAGAAATATATGTAAAGACGAGTAATTTAGACTATATGAATTGATATTGAATACTAGATAGATGTTAAATAAAATAAATAAATTAAAGATTAGAAAAATATTTTTTTTGTATATTCATACCCGTTAATTTTTAAATGAGAAAACATTATATTTGTTGAGGTTTATAAAAAAAATGATTTTTCTTTTCTAAAAAACAAAATCTCGATTTTTTGATAATGAACTAAATATATTGTTGATACTTTTCAATCAAAGAATGGAAAAAGAAAGAAAGAGAGGGAAAAAAAGAGAGAGAGAGAAAAGGGAAATTGCTGTTGCCCCTATATGTTAGTAGTCATAGTAGAACTAATATTGTTGTTGTTGTTGTGTTGTGGGTCGTCGCCTACTCTATTCTACACACACACCATATAGATAGAGAAAAGAAAAAAAAAAGGCTTTTTCTAATGCTGCTAAAACTTCTTCTTCTTCTCCTTTTTTTTTGCAGAAAATTCTTTCTTTCTCGATACTCCACCAATAAGCATTGGTTGTCTATGAACTGCTCGTGTTCGTTCGCTTGTGCTTGTGGCAATTTTTTCCTATTCTTCTTCTCCTCTTGCTTCTTTCTATGTAATAGAGTAGATAGTAGTTCACATTTGCCGTCGGTCGAGTAACAGCTGCCGACGAGCTATCCTCTCTCCCGTAGACGCTGCATTGATGTCGCCTTTCTGCAATTTTTTCTCTTCTTCTTTTTTTCTTCTTCTTGTCAGTAAACGATGATGGCGGACGGACGAATGGGCGGGCAGCAGTACGATGATAGAATTTCTTCTTCATTAATGTGATTAGCCTGCTACTGCTCGACGGCGCACAGCATTCTCTACGACTACTATCGTCGAGCAGGCAACGCGCTACAAGATAAGAGAGGTGATGATGCTGCCAAAGAGAATATCATTGCCATCAGTAGTGAATAAAAACTAATACACGAAGAAGAAGAAGAATAAGGAGAAGAAGAAAAAAGAGACGCCGAAACATGCACTTTCAGGCGAACAAACATGTAGCAGAAGCATAAAACAAGTCGAGATGATGCTGAAGTAAAAGAATGAGAAACAAGAGAAAAAGATAGACAGAAACTAGATTATGCCATCGAAGAGAGTGTAAGTGACGAATACGAAAGAATAATATTCTACAAGAAACGACTAAATCCTTGTCTATCTTATTATTGAGAAAGATGAGACTATATTTCCAACTCATTGCTTTTCTTTTTCTTCTACTAGACAAATCCAAATAAATCATTATTCATTAGTATTCTGATATGTGGATCAATCTCCTAAGAGAGATAGATATATTATTAGAAATAAAAATTTTATTTTCGAAAAAGAATTATTATTATGAGAATATCATAATTATAGGACGGAAAAAGAAAAAATCTTGCATGACTTATATTATTAATAGAAGGAAAATAAATGATTGTCTTGTCTCTAAGGATGAAATGAAAAGTAATATCAAACCTTGACGAACAAATTCAAGAATGATTATTGGTAGAAAATAAATCTCAAGGCTCCCTATACGTACATTATGGGAATAGAGAGCAGCTGCTCAATTTTATATGATACTCATAAAGAAGAAGAAAAAAAACCTCTACTTTATCAATCATTGTATTTTTATACGCCTTCTCCCTTTTTTTTTCTTGTTATTAAATAGAACAAAATTTAATAGATGAGACATGATGAAAAAAAACATTGATTGAAGAACATGTTTTTCCCTTTTTCATCGTTATGTATTTCATATTATCTTTCGTACCCCAAGTGAGAAACTGTCATCGACATTTTTCGTCAACAAAACATGTTCGATGCACACACGTCGCATTTATTTGATGAATATTGACGTGCTTCAAAGACAAATTACTTATCTATCTATAAACAAGCTTTTCCTATTCATCAAATGATTTTTATTTCTACAAATTCCATATTTATCGATAAATTTGTTATTTTATATCTAATAATTTCAATAAAAAATCATTTACTTGTCTATTTAATAATATCCTTCTTTTTTTTTCTTATAAATATGATTTATTGTTTCACATAAAGATAGACAAATTCATGTCTTATCGGTTGGCACGAACGTCTCGTCGAATTTGATGTTTAGGATTATTTACAATAGATATATATCTAAAGTATGAAAATAGATGCTTGATAGAGTGTTAAGGATTATTTATCATGAAAAAAGGTTTCAATCATACAAATGGCTTACTTCTAATGTATGCACGCTCTAGTTTTTCCTCAAAGAATAGATAGAATTCTATTCATAGCAAAAAGAAAAAAAACACTTGATTTATTTTAAGGATATTTTCTAATAAAACCATATATGAGATAGAATGAATACATGCAATATAATAATCAATATTTCGATACGATTTAATGAAGGAATCAGTAAGAAAAAGAAAAAACTAATATTATAGAATTACTTCTAAAAGTGTGCATGATATATAAATATTAGACATTAAAAAGTAAAATTATCTGTTAATTCAATGAAAATTGATCATTAAGGAAGCATTTTTGGATAGTGCATATAATAATCTTCTAGATATGTTTTTCTCCTATTGCATTAGAACCGATGGAATTAGTTGAAATCTAAAAACAATATCGATGTTTTTTATTTACAACGTTAATATTCTGTTTTTGAACGGAAAAACAAAAACAAACTGAATATTTCCATATGTTAGAAAATATATTCAAATCGATTGTCATAGATCCTATATGCAAATCATAAGAGTATAGTGATCGTAGTACTTCAGTATTGTAGTGCACGTTTTTATTACACATGACCGAATGTTCTACATTTCGGAAATATTCCATTGTTATTCGACATAATAATATAATAATAAGAAAGTTTCTATATGTGATAATTATATGAGTAGTAAGATGGAAGAGAAAAGACGAGTAACTATTTTTATGAATAAAATGCTTGATGGAACTGTCATTGTTACTATTAAAAGCTTTTTAAATCTTATATTTTCGAGATTTCCGTCTGACCTTATTTTTGACATTAAGGGCATTTCTACAAAAAGTTGTCAATTATCTGACATACTCGAAATCATGAGTGGAAAATTTATATATAAATTCGATTATTTACTTTTCTTTTTCGTCGAAAACAAAATCTGTTTTGCAAATTAATTAACAACTAAGCTTGAAAAGTGTCTGATTAAATCTTTATTTCCTTTTTTTTAACTATAATTCTATAAAATACTCATGTAACTTTATTCTTCTGAATAATAAATAATGAAATAGCACAAAAACATCGGGTATTATTTTCATTCATAGTTCATATTGAATGAGAAGTTTGTAAAAGCTTACTTCACAATACTGAAGTACAATTATCCATACTTTTTAACATTGCCAATCAAATAAAAAGTAATCAAACTAAAACCATATCGATGAATACTTCGACATACAATAACATCATTATCTTTTATTTATGTATTTTACAATCAATAGAAATTACATTCATTTATTATTATTATTTTGCGCAAAATAATTGTTTTCTTTTTTTTGAATAATTCGATCTAATGAAACGCCTTTTTAATATTTTCTTTAATCGATTTTTTGGTAGCATGTAAATTAATAAAAGAAGTTTCTTTTTACGTATATTTTTATTTTTATTTTTATGACGCAAAATAGTACAAATATTATAAATAATAAAGAAGGGTTATTTTGACCAAACATGTCAATAGAAGTTTTATTGGAAAAATTGATTGTACGTTTTGAGAATAAATCATTGGAAAACGTATTCATTTATTAACTAGTCAATCTGAATAAAAGATAAGTGTATTGTTCATTTGGAATAACCAATTATATTATATCAAATAATAAATATGTAAATTTAATAATGTGTTATTAAGAAAGAAAAGTTGAGATAATTTAATGATATTATTCTCTTATTGTTAAACAAATCATTTTCGATTTTAGTTTTTCCTCTGATGAATTAATAAGTAAGACAATTTGCTTATTTTTACTGTGGATCTTTTAGTAAATAAATAAAGAAAAAAAAGAGAATAAAAAAAAAAGAGGAAAAAATCAAATGTTTTTTATCGTTGTCGAGTTGCTTTGACTACTTTCCATTTATTATTTTTCACCGGTTTTATCAAAAATTCATGTGTTGTATTAAGAAGATGTACCATTGTATCATATGCACGTCGTTTTGCGTCATTCTTTTTTGAATCCCATACATAAGCTAACATAAGATGACCATCAAGTAAAAGTGAAAAATACCATTGTTTTTTAGTACCAATTTTTCGTTCACGGGCAGTTTCAGTTATGGAAATTAATGGTGGAATATTAAGTATAGATGTTATTCGAGAATATTCTTCACCAACACGAATACCATAAGAATAAAAACGATGTTGAAGTGTACGGATTTGTGTATAAAATGGACGTTGATCAACACGCCAAGCCGTACTTTAAAAAAAGGAAAATAATTAAATAATAAATGAATGAAATTGAATATACCTTTCTTCTTCTTCATCTGTAACATCAGAAATTGCTCCTAATTGTGAAGCATGATCAACAGGTGCACGGCGTTGACGAATTTCATGTTGATAATCATCTATACCACTTGTAGCTGTCGGACTAACTGTTTCAATATTATTTGATAAATTTGTCTAAATTAAAATAAGAATTTTGAAAACTAAATAATAAAAATTTGTATCTTACTGCTAAATAATGTTGATTTAAACGAGATTCATCCAGTCTTATTTGTTCAAATGTATTCTAGAAAATATACGAACATTTTTCTTAATGAAAATACCGAAATTTTTTATTTACTGTAAGATTATGTGTTATTGAAGATGATGGATATTGTCGAGTCATCGCTGGATGACTAACTGATGGTGTTGATTCTAATAGTAAGATAAAAATATAAATAACGAAAAATAGTTTTTTTTATATTTACGAATTGAACTTGTTCCAAATGTATTTGGTGCAACAGATTGAAGTATATCATTTAAATTTAATGGATCGTTACAAATCGGTGTAGCTAAATATTAAAATCAAAAAATCTTTGAAAAAACAAACAAACATGAAATACCATCGGATAGAGAAATTGAATCCCATTTATTTTGTGTTAATGTTGGCATAACAAGACGTGTATCATTTAATGTTGGTGGTTGAATTAAACGAGGTGGTGTACCAATCGATGGTGATATATCTACACAAAAAAAAACATTTAGATAATTAACAAAATATTTATTTATTTTCTACTTTGGTGTAAAATAAGATTAACATGATACATTTCACATTGTGTTACGGCAGACATCATAGATTTTTGCATATAAGTTGCTGCAAGATGACGAATAATTGGTGATTCATGTCTTAAAAAACAAAAAATTTTGATGAATTATAAAATTCGTTAGAATAATTTACGTTATAGCCACTGTTAATTTCGATGATAATTTAACAACGGGTGATTCACATGAAAGTGTTACCATACATCGATATTGTTGACGAAGACACCGAATAAAATAAGTCTAGAAGAATTATATATAATTTTTAATTTAATAAATAAAATTGAGCTTACCAAATTTTCAAAGACAAAATTCGATACATTATATCCTTTAATACCATCAAATACATATCCAGTTATAATTGTTGTTTGATACTTAAAGAAAATCGAAATTATTTTACTAGAAAAAAAACAAAAAATTTTAATTACTCCTTGCTCGATAATATTCCAATTTCCTTGTCCAGTTATACTTCCATCACATTCTCGTTCTCTTGATAAAAATGTTGTCACACATCGTTTAAATGCTAGAAAAATAAAGATTTATTATTATAGTTTTTCTTCGAAAATTAAATATTTACTTTCAAATGAAAATGCATCTTGTGTTGTAACAATTAAATGAAGTGGACGTTTATGATCAAGCAATTGCCTTAATTCGACTGGTATATAAGTACCATCGAGACGAATTGATACGGCACAATGCTGATCAATCTAAAAAAAAGATTTTTATTAGAAAAAAAAATCAAAACGAAATTTTCTATTTCTACAAACATAATCAAGAGCTTTAGCTGATAATAATTTGAACTTGTCCTTGTCCGACAGACTATTGATATCATACTAAAAAGAAAAACAAATATAATATAAATAAAATTAAAACTAAAAAAGATTTACTATATGTGTTTCTCTCAATGACATCGACGACGGAATATCTCCGGATGTACGATGTGAGGAGTTTATAGAATGCATTATACTAAAATTTAAAATATATTATTTTAGATTTTCAAAATAAAAAAGATAATATTCACTCTGATCGAGACTGGAATTTGTTGTTAATGGTAAAGTTGCACAGAAGGTTATTTTGCTTTTGAGAGATCTCTTTGCAAAATCAAAGATAAATAATAAGACGTTAAATTAAATAATCACAGACAACTCGTCACCGCCGCTGGGGGTGATCGAGCGTCGAGTTAAAGGTAAAAATGATGAAATAACGATAAGCACACACACACACCAAAACAAAAGGGAAAAGAGAGAGAGAGAGAGAGAAAACCGTATCGTGAAAAAATGAACGACCGTCCAGCAGATATATGATTCACTAGAGAAGAAACGAAGATTATTCTCAGATACAAGATTATATAACTGATTTATTTTCTATTTGCACTCGTTTATTCGAATTCTTTCGAGAAAATTTAAATAGGATGACAACACAAGTGCATTTAAATAACGAAGAAAATGTCCAGGGTTAAAATAATTACAATTAATTGCATTCAATATATATGTATATATAACTAAGAAAGGACAGAACGGGTCATAAAAACGTTTACGTTTACATTTTTAGAATAAATTCATGAACATAAAAATTTGAATGAATGAACATATCGTTAGAAAGAACTGGTTGAACTTAAACAGATAACTATAGAACGAACATCTAGGTATTCGTACTTAAAATACCTGGATAAGATGTGTCTTTATAGTAAATACAGTGTATATGAAAATAAATCTTCTTTTGTTTATCAAATATTCAAATAAAAATTTTATTTATTATTAAAAACAAAAATTAATTCTATTTAGAAGTTTTATTATTATCTTCATGTCGAGAAAGTGTAGCCATCAATGCTAATTTATTCCCCAAACGTTTGAATGTAATTGGTGTTTTATTCGATTGTGTTGTTAATTCTTTGGGTGGCATTGCTTTAGGTCTTAATTTCGGATCGAATAAATTAAATATATTATGAACATTTGTTTTCGAATCTTCATATTGACAAACAAATTTCGTTGTATGTTGAGAATGATTTTGTTTTTTCGATGTATTTATTTGTGGATATCGTTGATTAATATAATTAATAAGATATTTTAAATCTATTGATAAATTATCTAAATCAAACATTGTTAATATTGATGAACGAATTGATCCTGAACAATCATTTATAGCTTGAGGTAGGATATTTTCAAAAAAATTCTTATATGAATAATTTTGAGTTTCAGATCGAAGCGGAAGTGTTTGATAAAGTTGTATACGTAAACGAATTGATTTACGGCTTGAATTAGAACAATGAGATAATGGACGACTAACAAAAACAAAAAAAAATGTTCATTATGATTTAATAAATTCAAATACATACGTATCTTTTCTTTGTTTTATATCAATTTCAATAAAATCAAATAGATTTTTTAATTGAATATTATCTCGAACAAATGGTGATGCATCGGTTTTATTTAATAAAGTCATAACAATATTGTATCGTCCACAAAATGCGGCTAAAAGTAATGGTGTAAATCCAGAATTATTTCTTTCATCAGTATCAATTGCGAATTTGTTAAATTTTTCAATTAAATTTTCAATAATTTGTATATTATGATTTGCATAAATAATTGCATAATGAAAAATTGTATTCCCTTGTTGATCTTTTGATTGAAGATTAACATCTAATGAAATATCATTTAATAAAAAATCGAATAATTTATAACGTTGATAACGAAGTGTATACATAAGAATATTACAACCAAATTCATCACATAGATTTAATGAATATTTATAACGTGATGAAAATAATATTTTCATTGTTTCATAGGCAAACTTTTCATTTGAACAAAAACATAATTGAATAAATATTTCCATTGAATTGATATCTTTCGACTGAATATTAGATGACATTCGGTGTCGTCGGCGTTGTTGTTTTAATGCAGATGAATTTATATTCGATATATTCATATTATCTGTTATTATCTAATCTTTGAATGTGTGAAGGTGAATGAAAAAAAAAAGTTAAGTAGACGATACTCAATTTATAGTAACTTGTACTTACTAATGTAAAAGAGAGAAAAAAAAAAGAAAATGAGTTTTTTTTCTTGTTTTCCTTTTGTGCTTGTGTTTGTCTTCATTTATATTTAGTTAGTTAAATTTAAATTTATATGCATGAAGAAAATGAGACTCTCAAGTATTGATTAATTTTTAAATATGTCAATTTCTCTACTAGTGCTTCGAGAAAATTGAATGCAAATAAAAAATATATACCTCACATTTATTTTTATTTTTTTCTTTCATATTTCACACGAACAGATTTTAAATGAGGAATAAAAACTAATAATTAGAAATAAAAAGTCATTAAATAATTTCATATGATAATTTATAAAGAAGTATTTTGAGTAAAATGAGTTCATATGTTTATATTGCCTTTAGAATTATTCAAATGTTATTACGATAATGTTACGAATAAATGAAATATATGTAGTTGTTAATCAAAATGAGAAGTCATTCAAGATTATAATGAAGTATGTGTATGTATGCGCTTCGCTAAAAGCCAAATTATCGAAATGTAGATTGCAGAAATTCGATGATGCGTTCTTTTGTCTATGAAACTTTCGATGATCTATCATTGCGAACATAATATTATCGACTAACGAGGGAGCCTCATCAAGTGATACCCTCCGTTAGATCTTATATTCTGCCCATATGTAGGGCTCATATAGTAGATAAAAACTCCAAAAGGGTTCGTCCCATTACCCTCTTGGTGCTGAGATATCTTAATGCCGTGGTCCCCCTCAGGGAAGTGAGAAAAACTAATGTTGAAATTTTGACCTGAAATTTTGTATACAATGAGGTTTTACACTTACTCCTTGTTTCTATCTAGCGATAGGACTATGAAAATCTAATGTCACCTGCTAGCGTTACAATAGCTAGCATATGATATTTCTTTTTAGATTTATGAAGTAAACTACTCTCAGTAAGATCTCATTGTATACAAAGTTTCACGTCAAAATTCCAACATTAGTTTTTCGCATTTCCCTGAGGGGGACCACGTCATTAAGATATCTCAGCACCAAGAGGGTAATGGGACACGAACCCTTTTGGGATTTTTATCCACTATATAAGCCCTACATATAGGCAGAATATGAGATCTAACGGAGGGTATCACTTGGTAAGGCTTCCTCGTAAAAGCATCCACATTCCAATGACCAAACTAAAAGTCAATAAGAATAATTCGTCGATCTGTGTGCCGGCAATCTATCTCTTCGACGATCATAACAGGAGCAGAACTAGCTATTAGGCGAATCAGCGATCGCCACCCTCTCATGGAAATCCTGGATCATAATCATTATAACTTTACATTAACAAGTATTTTCGAACTTGAGTAAAATCAATTTTTCAAATAAAAATTCTTTACATCTCTTCAATATAAGAATTGCAGAAAAACACATATAACTCATAATCACACCATTTAATATATAATCAAAAACATATTTTCCATTTTGTTGTGTATTAGAATAAATAATATGAGACATATAAGATATATTAGATAATTTTTTATTGAAAAAAATGTTTGTCTCTAAGAGTTCTTTTGCAACTGTAACAACACACGCACACGCACACGGCAAAATAGAAAGAAAAGAAAAGTGTGGCAAATGAACGCAAAATTAAGATAGGATGATTCGAATGTTATTGTTGTCATAGAGTATAAAAGACGAAAGAAAAAGATATTATTTACACGTAAATCTCTATGAGAAATTAAGTAAATCCCCAAATAAATGAAAACAAGAAAAAAAAGAAAAAGAAATAGAAATAGAAAAAAAAAGTTTCATTCTCATTGTATAATTTCGACATAATTTGATGGAAGTAAACCTTGTTGACCTGTTTTGGGATTTCTACCTAACATCCAGCCATCATCAATTTGTTCACATTCAACAAGTGTATCACCTTCGGTAAAACTTATTTCATCCGATTCAGCTGCTGTATATGAATAAAGTGCACGAACTTTCATCTAAATATATTGATTAAAATAGAAAATTTCTTCATTTATATATATATTACCTGTGTTGATCGATTATCACCATGTGAATATTGCTCGGAATGATGATTATCATCATGATTATTATTATTATTTGATGGAATTTGTTGTTCATCTTCATATTGATGATAAGAATTTTTGTTGCTATTTCCATTACCATTATTATCAGTTTTTACATTTGATTGAAGAGCATTTTTGGGATTTATTTCATATTCTATATTAAATAAATTTGATTATTTATATGAAATTATCAATATACAAAATAGTTTCTAGGATTGATGAAGAAAATATATAATTCTATGTAGTTCATTCTAAAATTAATATGAAACCAATAATAAGAGTCACGAAGACTTTATTTATTAGAATGAACTATATATGTTTATCTAAACAAGTGACTAACCACTAGGGACACTTAATTTTATTAGATTTAAGCTCTATTTTTAATGAAATTTGTCTATTATAATCTAGTCATTTTATAGACGATCGTAACGATGATCAAATAATAATTAAATTATAGTTAGATCCTCATTATTAACTAAAACTTATTAGATTAGAAACTGTCGGATTTAATCAAATCTTAATTGACATAATCAAGGATGCAATTTTATCATTTGAATATATAGAATATGTGAGATATTTACTTGAAGCATGCATTGCTTTTGATGTTGGTTCATATCCACGTGCTAATGAACCACGATCATCATTGATCGGATCATAATCAGCCACTAAAAATAAATTTCAATAGTATGAAAATTGAAATAAAAAAAAAATAAATTTACCACGACCAACTGTTGGTCCAGATGGATTAAAATTTCTATTATTCACATCTGATTGTTGATTATGATCTTTTAAGAGAAAAAGAAAATAAGTTTAACTAAAACTATCCTTCTTATAATAACAATAAAAAATAAACCTTGAGCAAGAATTTGTGATGTACTATCTTTTCGTTTGCCAGTATATTCCGCTTGACTAACAATCCGTTGATGTTCTTTAGCTCGTGTTAATTCTGGATTATCCGCAACTGCTGTAAATTTTCCTTTGCTCTTATTAAAATCTTCATGATATTTCGCCTAATCAAAAGAACAGGAAAAAAAATCTAGCAAACAATTTTATTAAATAAAAATCCAATACATTGCTTTGAATATCTGTAAGTGCACGAATGCGTTGCATTTCAGGATTATCAACAACAACAGTTGGTTTTGGTTGGGGATAATGTCTATAAAAACAAAATAATTATAATAATAATTAATTTAATTATGAGAAATACTTACACATTACAATAAGGCATTCTATCATAACCCTTAACATTTTTAACATTAAGAGTCATTCCACATACTGTACATTTCAAACATCCTTTATGCCAAAACTAAAAGCAAAAACGTAAGTATGGATAATTATTCAATAAGAATAAAGTGTTTTCTTTTAGCAGGAAAAGAACTCCATGCATAATTAAGGATGAAAATTCACATATGCAAAAATTACCTTCTTAGCTAATGTCAAATAAAAGAATAAGAAATGAAAAAAAATGTATAAAATGACAAATTTACTTTATCAAGACATTTGATTTCTTCTGCTGGATAAACGATTTTTTCGCATTTACCACATTTTTTTTGTGCAGTTGACATATTTATTTAGATTTTAATGTTTAAAAAAGAGATAAAAAAAAGAAAAATCTGAAGGACAAAAATAGAAAGAATCTTCTTTGTTATTTTAACCAAAAGACAGAGACAAATAACAGAGCAGATGAAATCTTCTTTTTTCCTTCAGTCGATTATTTAACCAATGAAAATAAATCTTCAAGAATTTTTTAGTCAAGAATTTATTTTATTATTTATTTTCAATAAAAAATCAAATAAAAGAAATTATTTACAAAAAAAATGATCGTAGCGTTATAAATCTGATTGGTGAATCAAACAACGAATCATGATTCATTTATAGTTTAGATTTTTATTATTAAGATAATCTTTAGTATTTTAAGAGATGTTTTCTAATCTTATAAAACATTTTTCATCAACAATACGTAATTGTCGATTTGCATCATCATCCTTACCAAAATATTCAACTAATTTTTCATATCGACAACATTTAGTGTCTGATTTATCGAATAGTAATCTAATTGATACATCAGTATCTCTTCATGGATGGTTACAATATCGTCGTATGAACTCATTTGGTGTTCTACGTGATCATTCAGGTCTTATTCAATTTATTCTTCCATCATCATTAAAACAAGAACGTCAAATATTAAAACAAACACCTGTTGAATCATGTGTACATATTCAAGGAATACTTAAGAAACGTCCAGAAAAAGATATGAATACAGATATGACATTAGGTCATCTTGAGGTATGTTCAACAAAATTAATAAAATTATTCAAAAGCCAATTCAATTTAGATTCATGTCACTGATTTTAAAGTAATAAATACTTGTTTACCTACATTACCAGTTGATCTATCAAAATTTCATGAATCAGATGAAATAACACGTTTAACATATCGTTATTTAGATTTTCGTCGTGATATAATGCAAGAACGTATTCGTTTTCGTTCAGTATTTATATCAAAAGTACGAGACTTTTTATTAAAACATTCATTTGTTGATATTGAAACTCCATCATTATTTCGACGTACACCTGGTGGTGCGAGAGAATTTTTAGTTCCAACTCATATACAAGGTGGTGGACTTTTTTATGCATTAACACAAAGTCCACAACAATTTAAACAACTTTTAATGATGGGAGGATTTGATCGATATTTTCAAATAGCAAAATGTTTTCGAGATGAAACAGGTTTTTAAATTCATTTTTCATACAATAAATTTATTATTTATTTTTATTATAGGTCGTCATGATCGTCAACCTGAATTTACTCAAATTGATTTAGAATTAAGTTTTGTTTCACGTGAAAATATTTTTTCTTTAATTGAACAACTATTAACTGCTTGTTGGCCTGATTCACTTGATAATATTCCATTTCCTCGTTTAACTTTTACTGAATGTATGTCTCGTTATGGAACTGACAAACCTGATACACGTTTTGCTCTTGAAATTGAACATACATTTGATAAACTCTACATAACGTCACCTGTTTCTTTAAAGAATATTAAAAATTTTCTTG